TGCATTGAACTTCATGCAGTTGAATTGTATTATTGTATTGTAAGAATTGAAATAATTAAAGACTCCCACGGCTGTCGTGTGGACACACTTCTATTAAAAATCCTGTTCTGTATTGGATGATAAATGTTTTAGATTCGGTTGAGCGGGGAGCGAATTAGAATATAATATAAAATAACAACGTTGCATGCAAGTGGCCCCATGTGAATGTAACTTAAAGTACACAATTGCAATCCTGGGTTCAATTAGGATCGCATGCGCACGTGATAACATCTTAAGCATGGTACTTACACTTAGATAATAGTTCATTCCATATGTTAAGTTGAAAATCGTCTTGTTATATTGGTAAACCTAACAATAAAATGAACAGAACAAGGTTAAATATTAGCAAAATAAAGAAATGGCTGATTGATATATGTCTTCCTAAAAGGCAAAATTTCCATTGTTTTTTTAATTTGCTTGCAGTCGTACAGATAAAATATAATAAATATACGCTCAGGTAAATATAACTATCATGGTGCGTCATCGTGCGTGTTATTCGTACCAGTCACAATTAAGAAACTCCATCAGTCGGATCAGGGGTTAAACTTCAAATGCAAATAACCCTGATACACAAGATTTGTAAGATTATGGCCATGTATAACTAAAACGCGTACGAAAACACATTACCCTTCCCGTGATAGCCAAGTTGAGCCAAAAAATCTCAGGTTGAATGATTGTGATCTATTGTTAGACCTGTTCTACTCACATACTTTATCAGAAAACATCAATCTGCTGTGACGGCCCCATATAGAAGAACTAGTTTTTGAAAAAAGTTCCCCGCATGCCTCTAGACTAGCCTCCTCCGCAGGCCTCTCTATGGGTTCTAGCCTGCGAATGGGTTTGAAAAAAAAATTTTATGGGAGAGAGGCCTGCCATAAATCGAACAAAATGGACGTGTCAATGTACCCCACCCCCTAAGTAGGCGTTTGACCCTAATTATATATTCAGTTTGAAATCTTCAGGCGAGGAGCGAAGCTTGCGAGTATTAACCTTATAAATGTTTTAAAATGCATCGAAATATTCAAGTTATACGAAAATTAGTTGGTCAATTGAAAGGATTATATATCGCAATGTCTCTCGCGGTCTAAAAACGACGTGAAAATTGAATTGAATCGCTCGCTCGAACCTGCCAAAATTATGTTTACAATGTATCAATTGTTCAGCCGAGGAACTACAATTTGAGGAAATTATCTGGCATAATTTCGAACGCAAAACGAAGAATGGAACGATACGAAAGGTATAATTTGTTTAATAAAGGAATTATATTAAATTGTATTGTTTTCTGGAATATTATTTTGGCATGTTTATTTATATGAAGGGGTTGACATTTTGATTATATTTTACTAATTTTAGTCAAATCATCAGACATTTGGCGACATGTTAAGTGAATTGATATATAAGAGGAAAAGATCTTTCTGTTGAAGCAACCATTTCAATAAGTGAGGAGAGATAACAACTTGGAAATATCAACTACAGAAATTTGATTACTACAAAAATCAAGATTTTGTTGGCATCTTAAGCCTGGTTTACATATGCCTGCATTATCATTGTTTACAGCTGTTGATGCATACATTCTTTTGTGAATTATTTAGTTAAACTTTTAACGACAATAGCCCATCAACAAACAGCAGGTATATGTGAACCAGGCTTCACTTGGTTAAATAGTTAATTGGAACTCACCCCCTTAATTAATATCATGTGAATATGCTAAACCCATTAATAAGTTGCATTGTGACACATGTAACAACCTCTTTCTAATATAGTATATGCCTAGTTGTGTTACACGTACTGGCCACATGACATCCATGATTTGATAAATAAAGAAATTTATGATGTATCTGCATATTCTCTAATTATATGCATCTCCCTTGTTCATGTTTAAATAAAATTGCTCTTGACATTATTTGTTTTAAATATAATAAATCTAGATTGACATGTATCATGTAAGAGCCTACAATGCCAGGGGCCCACAACAAGTTCTTGTTGTCTCATTGCTTGCCGGCACGCCCCTGCTTTTTCTCTGTCTAACATCAGACAATTTTACTATTCCAGGGGAGAGTGCAAACAATGGGCTAATCTAAAGCTTCACAGCTTATAATTAATATGTACCCACCATTGAAAGACTTTTGGGTGGTTAATGTAACAATTAATAGCAAAACATGCAGGGGTGGATTTACTGGGGGGGGGGGTGCACACCCCCTCCCTAGCCCTGGCCAGGGGGTATGTGTGTGCTATTTTTCATGATAAAGCAAAAAGTATTAGAGACAAAATGAGATATTGTACACAGTACACTTGTACCACATGGAGGTTGTTTTGCCAAATTCTCAGAATACTGCTGTTGCTGTATGTTAATGGGCGAGCTGCACACATGACAACACAACTCGAGTCACTCGACACCATAGCTGGCAGAGCACCCCCCTACCAGATCATGCTGAATCCATCCCTGAAAACACATCTATCACTGGGAAGTTTCGTCAGTGACTGTTTGTATGGTTATAGGGAAATTTGACTTCAAAATGGATTTTACCCATGTAAATATTTTGTCTGTGAACTTTGGTAAGCAAAATGGAATGTATGTAATGCCTCCATTGGTTAATTATAAACAAATCCAAGGCAAATGTTATTAAGACAGGTCTTCATACATGTTGCACCACATGGAAAACTATTAGATTCTTATTAAATTCCAGTTGTCTTTCCCCTTATGTCTACATTACTCACACCCATATATAAAACAGGGCCATTGATTTAAGAAAGCTTTTGCTAATTTTCGCGACATCTAAGACACTCAAGTTTGAAAATTTTGTCTTTGTCCAAGGGATAAATTGCACAGTGTAAGACTTTTATTAATGATTTCCTTCCATACAAGCGTATTAAAACAAGGCAAGAGGTGTTTATATATTTACGCAGGCACAGTCACAGATGTCAACAGTTGAATTTACATTTATATATTGACAATTTTCGATCGTTCCTTTTCGTGTTACAATTTCGACTAAATCACTGCACTTTCAGCTTATTATGATATAAAATGTCGTCAACAATTTGAACAGAAATTTGTATATATCAACGATAAACTTTCAATTGAAACCTTCTCTTGACAAATGTCTTGACATGAATCGACGACATAATTGTGAATTCACTGCTCTGCAAAGTCACTCGTTAATATCTCTAAACAATCCCAGTAAATCGCTCCGTCGGCTCTCGATAACGTTCTCAGCTCCTTAGTCAAAGTTCCCTTTGTATTTGCAATGTTGAAGAGCAAGATTATTCGTTAATTTTACAGTTTTACTCGTCTTCTAAGCCATCGTGTTGAAAACAAAATTTTCTTCACTCCTTGCCGTAAGCCCTTCCTACTCCCCCTAAGTTTGAGTTTGTCGAAATTTGCATGCGCGAGCCGGTATGCGCAGTGCAAATTTTTGTGTCGATTTATGGCAGGCATCTCACCAAACTTTTTCCCACCACCCGATTCGTCGGGTGAGATGCCTGCGGAGGAGGCTACCTCTAGACTAGAATTCGGTGAAACAGTTACAAATCCTAATATATTTATAGAACAACTCTTCAGAATGTAAGTTACGACAGCTAGGTATATAAAGAGAATATAGAGATGCGAGGTCAGCCAAGCGTCTCCAGTCATGATATACTGAGAAATGGCAATCATATGAGTATAAACATGTGTCAAGTATAATTGGGTAAACTATATAAACCTATGAAATAGTTAATATTTATATGCGTACAATTGTACGCATATAAATATTAACTATTTCATAGGTTTTTATAGTCAAATATACTGACACAATTCGGGACTGTACACATATAAAAGACATAACTAATCCTGGTCTTTGATTAATTCACTGCTGGGTAAGAAAAATAAAACCACTCATGTCAATGAGCTTCAGGTGAATTATAACGTCGTATAGCTGAATCAATTTGCAGAGCCGTTAAATCATCATAATTATTTCCTAATTGTTGAACCACATGCGATTGGTCACAGATTCTTCCTCCGACGATGAGATGAATTATGATAACCACTCAAATAATAAAACTACTCTTTCTTGGTAAAAAACACTAGCCTATAACCTAAGATTCAAAGTTTCACTGATGCATCCATGTATATACAAAGTGTCCTTTCTTACACTTAAGAATAATAAATTAAATAAATCGACAGGGCTAGATAAACTACCGGCGAAAATGTTAATTAAAGCTAGCCGCTGACAAGCATAACGACCCCTTGTTTATCATGTAGATGAATGGAAAAGGTCCAGCGTAACGCCGATTTAAAAATCTGAAAATAAAACAGAATGTGAGAGTTGCAGATCAATTTCTATTTTCAATTGTCAATAATTGTGGCGTTCCATCACCGCCAAAAATCAATATTGCAATTCGACTTTTAACATGGGGAATCAACATTTAATTTTGCCCATAATTTTTCATACGGCTTTTGACAATGTTTACCACACAAACATTTAACGACTTTCCTGCACGCAAAAATGAACTTGGTGGAAAAATCTAAATATGAAAAGTTGCGATTTGCTATACTGAAAGTTGCGATTTGCTCAGTTGAAAGTTTCGATCTGTCAAATTCGAAGTTGCAATTTGTCAAGTTGAAAATTGCGATTTGTCAAGTTGAAAATTGCGATTTGTCAAGTTGAAAATTGCGATTTGTCAAGTTGAAAATTGCGATTTGTCAAGTTCAAAATTGCGATTTGCCGTCGCTTGTACAAAAGCCGCCAAAATTACGTCATTACCTATGCAACATGGCGGATGTGCTTTTTTAAAGCTCTAAAATTTGATATTATTTATGAAAATACTAAGTATTTTTAATCCGGTAAACCTTAATTTACAAAAAATTTTCTTGTTAAAGTACTATTTTGTTTCGCAATTACTTTAACTTATTCTTTTGACGCTCAGGTGAACTTTAAATTCTCTTTTAAAGTCAGACAATCAATCGTTTTTGCAACAGCAAAATGTCTCATAAGAATAATCGTGGAAAATGTATTCAGTGTGGCAAGGGTCCTCGTAAATTGATAAATGGTATTTGTCAGTATGAATGTGCGAAGAATAGTGCAAACGTAGCTGAAAATTCTAAGCGTAATCCTGTTAAACAGTGCAGATCGTGTAAGATGTCTGATCAGGGAACTGGCCCATTGCTAAATTGGGTTATTTGTTCTAATCCAAGTTGTGCAGGCTGTTATCATGCAGTATGTACCAAGTTAGGTGAACTTTCGAGCTCTGCGTTGGCTGCTATTTACTGGATTTGTCCAAAATGTGTGGTGTCCGTAAAACCGTATGGGTGAGTAAAGACTCTGATGATACTTTGCCCACTTGTGATCAGGGAACTGGCCCATTGCTAAATTGGGTTATTTGTTCTAATCCAAGTTGTGCAGGCTGTTATCATGCAGTATGTACCAAGTTAGGTGAACTTTCGAGCTCTGCGTTGGCTGCTATTTACTGGATTTGTCCAAAATGTGTGGTGTCCGTAAAACCGTATGGGTGAGTAAAGACTCTGATGATACTTTGCCCACTTGTGATCAGGGAACTGGCCCATTGCTAAATTGGGTTATTTGTTCTAATCCAAGTTGTGCAGGCTGTTATCATGCAGTATGTACCAAGTTAGGTGAACTTTCGAGCTCTGCGTTGGCTGCTATTTACTGGATTTGTCCAAAATGTGTGGTGTCCGTAAAACCGTATGGGTGAGTAAAGACTCTGATGATACTTTGCCCACTTGTGATCAGGGAACTGGCCCATTGCTAAATTGGGTTATTTGTTCTAATCCAAGTTGTGCAGGCTGTTATCATGCAGTATGTACCAAGTTAGGTGAACTTTCGAGCTCTGCGTTGGCTGCTATTTACTGGATTTGTCCAAAATGTGTGGTGTCCGTAAAACCGTAT